GTGGTTAGGGGCATTGACGTTTTACGAAAAACACGATACAGATTTTTGTAAAAGCGAACGCGGACCTCGGATGGTGGCGAGGGTCTTAGGGTTCGGCTAAATAAGTGAACAGCCCTATTCGATCGCGTCACAAAAATCGGCGGCGGGATCTGATTGAACTCGGTTTAAACGCTGACGACTCTCGGAGATTATAAAGCGACGGAGTCCAAAGTCCGACTTGGGAGTGGCAAAGAATTCCCGGACTGAAAAATCTGTTAGCGTTATATTACAGTTGATTCAGGTATTCAGTCAACATGAAACAGGTGTTCGTGAAATGCAACATTTTTACAGTGTGCGGCACAACGGCACAACAACATACTGTAAGAAGTAATAAAAAGAAGAAGNTGGCAAAGAATTCCCGGACTGAAAAATCTGTTAGCGTTATATTACAGTTGATTCAGGTATTCAGTCAACATGAAACAGGTGTTTGTGAAATGCAACATTTTTACAGTGTGCGGCACAACGGCACAACAACATACTGTAAGAAGTAATAAAAAGAAGAAACGCAAGGGTCCAAAAAGTAAGTGCGCTTATTAATTTATACTTTGTAATTAATCATGCACCCATATCGTATTGATGACGGATGATATTCGTTTTCGCAGTGTGCTGGAGGTGCAAGAGTGGTGGCCACTTGAATCGGGAATGCCCGAGTAGTTATACATAAAACTACGACTTATATCTGTGTGTTAAAAAAACGTTTTTTTTTTTTTAGAACGCAAAACAGTACCACCACCTCCACCACAACCACAACCAGAACCAACAATATTCGAAACGGAGCGACGGGCTCGCCGCAATGCGGAGGAGGAGGTCGAGCGACTGAGGTTGCTTTTGCAAAACGCCACAACGGCGGCCTCCTCGTCCTCCTCCTCCTGCACCGAGGACTGCGGCGGATCGGGTGGTCTACCGGGCTAAGGTATGAAATACACACGTACAATAGAGGCAGAACTGATAAAGATTGATTTTTCAAAAAATCAAATTGTTTAATAAAATAATATGGAATAAATTTTTCGTTCAAAGCTAAGGATATTTATTTACGGTAAACCAATAATAGCTGATTAAGTAGAGTACGCGAAAGTTTATTATTAATTCTTAGTGCTACGTTCTGCCTCTTGCATTTATTTATCTCATATTGTTACAATAGATGCATAACGATATGCGTATTTTTTTTTTGTTTCAGAATCAAATTAAACAATATAAATTAAACAAAAAATATATATCAAATAAAAATAAACGTACAATTAAAAACGTGTTGTTGATTTATTTTCATGTTATCATATATAATAATAATTACAGTGTTCGACGATTGTGAATGGGGGTAGTAAAATGTCAATTGAATAACGGTATAATTAGAAAAAAAAGTTTCACAAAAGATTATACAATAATTATGCAACATATTACAATGGTTAACAGTTAAATGGGTCCTTCTTTAAAATAAGATAAATCAAAAATGGTTAGAGTCCGTTTAAACCGTATGATAAAGGAACAGGTCGACATGTACAGCACACGACTTTCGCTCGACTATATTACATAAGATGAATTTTATTTGTAAGTTGAAAAAAAAAAAAAA